CCGTCTGTATGTCACTCGCGCTGCCACTCCCGATCCTATTGAACGCCGCCAGCGTGAACTGGTATCGCGTGCCGCACTGCAAACCCTCGAGGAGATGCGTGCTCTCTCGTCGGTCTAGCATGACCTCTTCCCATTCGGCGAATTCCCGACGATAAGCTAGGAGAAATCCCTTAATAGGCGCGCCACCGTTGTCGCCCTGCTTCCATTGTAGCTGGATAGCGTCGGTCGTCGTGCCGGTCGCCAACAGAGTCGGCGACGTCGGCGGCACTATGCATAAAGTTTACCAATTAGAACTTAGCTCGTGCACCGCTTGAGAGTCGGCGAAACACCATCCGACATATTCGCTCTTCGAGTGAGAGATGCGTCTCTCGCTTTTGCTCTCTCGCGCATGAATAAGAATTCGTAGGAGTTATCCTGTAAGACTCCCTCTCGCATGCAAACTTGTGTGCGCAGTTTGAGTCTTAGCATGAGTACCTTCAATCAAGATTATGTAATACGTTTAATCGAAATTATAATTCTAATATTTATTAAGTTATAAACCTCTATAAAGCTCAGGCTATATTTCTATATAATAGAAAGTTGATATAACGCTTCCCTTATAAGCAGCATCTGCAATGAGATTTCATACGTAAAACTTAAGCTTTAAGCCCGAGGCCGTAAGAAATGGACCAATCACAATGTGAGGAAAATCGATCATAACTGGTAAATTTTTTCTAGTTTAATTGTTTTCATGACTTCTCTGCACGTTTCTCAAAGTTAAGGTTTAAAGCTTAAGTTTTACGTCTTAAAATCTTATTGTAGACGCCGCTTTAGAAAGATTCTAACGTAACTTTAAATCGAATTATCTTCGCGATGTGAAGACGTTACTTCCGCAGCGGATTAAAATTTCGTACACAATGCACGCGCTTATCACGTTTGAGAGTCTGACTAGCGGCGGTCTTAATGATTTCGTTTGCACCGACCTACCCTGTATATGCAGCGTGTATGTAATTTCGTCCGTGCCAAGCGAATTCTTCGCGTGACACGAATAACTGTCTTCATGACTTCTCTGCACGTTTCTCAAAGTTAAGGTATTGTCTGGCCCCACGTCGGATCTGGAAAACTCGTCCCGTGAAACATACATTCCACCAGCATGTTTGTGCTACGCGTTTCGGTCGCACTTACTTTTGTTGCAGTTTCATGTCAGCACGTCGCCACTCGACGCTCGGCCGAGGATCGCCGACGACGAGGCAAGCCATATTAACGTCTACTCGCCACGGTACCACGATGGGCACGCCGTACGATATTATGGCAGCTGGAACTAATTAAAGGACCCCAGTTACGAGTTTCCATTCGTGCCATTTGTGCTCCGTTATATCTCCCCGGCAAATGTGGGTATTATCGAAAAATCACAAGCACCGTGCTTACGTTCGCTATCGATCATGGAGCATGCTCCACGTCAAAGAGCATTTTCCTTTATGAAATATGGACCATCCTTCCTATGAAGCTGTATTCCCCCCGTATAATATTCGATGCGCGTTTCAGCAGTTGTATAGTGTTCTCGGAACTCGACAGAAATGAAAAGTTATATCGATACGTTCACGGAGTATCCAACACGATAGAATTTTATGGTAAAAGCAAGGAATTTTTCAATATTCTCCAATCTCTCAAAGAGAGCAACTTACCGGTGGTGCTGGGTTGAAGCTTGATGACCGGTGTGCTGGAACCCTGACCGACCTTAGTCGACGCCGTCACCCACGCCTCGTAGGTCTCGTGCTGCTTCAATCCGGTTGCCTCGTGATGCAGATTCTGCGCGGGCAGAATGCTTTTGGTGATCTTCACCTCCTGGCCCTGTTCCAACACGCGGATATAGACGGTGTACTGAATGAGCAATCCGTTTGGCCGTCGCGGCGGCAACCAAGATATCACGACGGCGTTCTCACCGCTGACCACCGCCTTTACGCGTTCCGGTGCGTCGGGAACTGTCGGCAGAGTGCCATTCTTTGGTCGTTAATGACTTATACAAAGAAAAGCTTCAAAAGACAGTAAGAGTTATCCTGTAAGACTTGCTGTCGTATGCGAGTTTGTGCACTGAAAAAAGGGTCAGGTAATAACTACCAAATGTTGAGTGAAATAATCAAATGTTTGGCTAATATAAACAAAACTAATTTTACTATTCTAAATATTTAATAAATATTATCACGCAAACATAATAATATGATTAACCATCTGAAAATACTTAATAACCTATTTACAAAAATAAAATTATTTTTGATTATATTAACCAAACATTTGATTGGAATTATTTTACAAAATATTTAGTAATTATTATTAAACTCTTTTTTCAATGTACATAATTGCAGCTTGATCCTTAAAAGTACCTTCAATCGAGATTATGTAACACGTTTAATCGAAATTATAATTCTAAAATTTCTAAAATAGAATAAATCAAGCATATATTACGTAAGATTTGCATTAGATATAAAATTGTATTTATAAAAGAACCTCACATATTATTGATTTGCCTATTTCAATTTTGCCTTGAACTTCTTAAACGGGGGATATTGAACATGCTATAAATATGCTCTCTTAAATAAACACGTCGAAAATAAATTAAATAACAATATCGAAGAGTAATCTAAGCGCTATTTACCGGTTTCGCCGGTGGTGCAAGACACAGGACTGCTCGCGACGCCGTCCCCAGCCCTGGTGTAGGCGAGTACCTGCACCGTGTAGTTGGTATACGGGCTGAGGGAGTGCAGAACCGTGCTGAGAGCATGACTGACTTTCGTTTCTCTGTTGGTCTGCGAGTCCGAGGCGGCTTCATACAGCAGCTTGTACCCCAGCACGACCCCGTGAACTTTGTCAGAAGGCGGTGGTTTCCAGGTCACCTGGATGTTCTGACCATTCAGTGCGGCGCAAGCTACATTCTGCGGTGGCGCACTTGGAACTATGTCAAATCGGTACCGTAAATCGCTGTAGCGTATTACTCCTTTGACGTGTCGAAAAATGTGATTTCGAGTTTATGTTATTGGTTATCGCCCGCAGACTCACAGAACTCGCAGTGACTCACCAAATTGGTCAGGGGTTTTGAAAATTACAAAAAATTGTTTATAGGATTATTATATCAGAAATGTTATTTGTGTTTTTCTAATAATATATAAAAGTCATTTATATAAATTAATTAATATTATTATTTATTTTATTTTAATTCTTGCTTCGCGGCTTAGGATGGTTTACAGTTTACATTTCTGCATTACAAATTAATTAATATAGTGGGTGATACAGTTAATTTAAGAATAATTATGAGAAAATTTGTTTTTTTATATATCTGTCTCTTTTCGTTATTAGTTTAAAATTTTTGTATAGAAAAACAATTTGGCCAATTTTGTGGGTAGCTAAATATTTAAAACTTATAATCAACCAAGTTACAAAGAAAATTATAAGAAAAAAGAATCTCGATTGCCAAAATTGTGATTTAGGCTAAAATAGAATTCAATCTGACAGAATTTAGATGGATAAAACAAAAAATTCGACTAAAATTATTATTGTCAATGTTGACTTTTGTAGCAATTTAGTTTGAATCGCGTAAAAGCTCGTTCCATAACCCAATATCGTTACGCAAATGATTGCCGTTGTTCAACGTTATGCATTATATATCGTATTGAATGTTTGTGCATCAATATGGCATGTGTGACAAACTTTAAATTATGATATTAATTTGTGATATGAAACTTGATCTCATCATTTGCATTTCTCAATTATATTTAGCTCGCAATCAAAATGCAAAAAGACTACCTCAAAGTGGCACGCCGTAATTGCTTTGTTTAGCAATGCCGTGCCAGATATTTTTATTAACACAAAATCCCGCGATAAACGAGGACTTTTTACTCACCGTCCTCAAATGTGTGCGCCGTCACGGGATCGGATCCTGGGCCATCTCCTTTGCTATTGAACGCCTTTACTACTATGCTATATTGGGTATATTTTCGTAGACCCGTCAGCCTGTAATCGTGCGAGCCGTCCCCATTTCCTGTGATTCCTACTCGCGTCGTGTTCGTCAATTGATCATCTCCTCTGAAATAAAGCCGCGAAACCACGATTCGTTGAAGCGAAAAGATAACGCGAGAAGCACGAAGGCGATCGACAGCGCTGAAATCTATGTGTCAACCGCGCGAATAGGAAGTGTGTCAAGAAGAGAAACCATTAAATTGGTTTGTAAATAATCGATTGGAAAAGTTTTATTTTTAAAAGAGAGAAAGATAGAATCTCTCTTTCGTTCTTATAAGTTTTAAATTGTATAGAGACTCTTGTTGTTAGGTGTTATCTGAATGACTTCTAGTGACAAAGTTAACAGGGTCACAAACAGATAGAGTACGCATTAAAATATATAAACCATCTTTTCTTCTCTTATATATTCTATTGTTCGCAAGTTGGTGCTGTCTAAGAACGGGAAATCCTTGGCACGAAAGTCGCCGTCGCCAAAGTTTACCGGAAATTGTCCTTATCGTCCGCATTTATTACGTTCCGCCGCTTGATTCAAATATAATGGAGGCAGTAACAATCTCAAAATTCAATGGAACATAACTATGGAGACTCGGACCGAAAAGGTATTTTAAGAATTTCTCTCTTTCTGCGCGACTGGACTGTCAAAGTATGATCCAATTATTCTGGTATGAAATATCACAGCGCAAATATTACCATGTCTAATTTAAGAAGTTTCATTGCGCGAACGAGTTTTGTCATGACAGTTTTGTCTTTCTCAATAAAAAAATAAATTTAATTTTAGAAAGAACAATTTTGGAATCTAATTTAAAAAAAAATGAAGTCTATTAGAATGATTTAGATCATAAATTATTATATGTTATCATTGTAATCTCAAATATTATAAAAAATGTTATTTTAATAATAATAATAAAGATAATAATAATAGGAATGATAGTAGATAATAATAATAGTAATGATAACTTTTGACATCAAAATGACGAGAAATAACTTATAGACTTACACTCTTATACAAATCCAATACTAATCAACTTAACATTGAAAGGTAGTAATCAAATTTCTTATAGGTAAACTTTTATAACTTGAATATAAGTCAATTCTTTATATAAATAAATTATGCTATATGCTATAAATATATATATATATATATTCTCAAATATGCTTTTTTATATTAACGATTATTATAATTTGTAATTTTATTAGAAAACAAATACGTCTAAAATTATCTGCCCTCTCACCATCCCGCGAAAATAATAAAGATTATCACAGCCAATCTTCTTTCTGAAACGTCTTCCTCACGTCGCTTCGGTTTTCACCGTAAAATATTTTCTCGCAAAATCAATATTACTGAAGATATAACGTGTCGCGCGATTTAAACTCGGTTATATGAATTTGCTGTTATCCCTCCGTGCGAATGGAGAGATCATCGCGATCATTGTTCAGGGCTTTCGGCTCGAAGTGATGGACGCTAAACGCCGCAAACTACCGTAGTTCAAGAGAGGTAAGCAGATAACGATACCCGAGATTGGTGTAGCCGATGGTGTATCCGAGTAGTTCGCCGTTCCACAGGGATCGATCCGGCGGTTGCCACGTGATCTTGAGCTGCTGCGGGCCCAGGGGCTCCACGGAGACGTGCCTGGGCGGTCCACCGGGCACTTCACCGTCCGTTTGCACCTGTTTCGAAAATTTCGAGACGCCCCCAACGGCGTACGTGAAAAAAAAAACAATCCGTCTGACGTTAACGCAACGTTAATGACTTCGTGATAATGTGAAAGTTTTTTTTTTCTTTCGATCATGCTTTATGTATGTTTCTTTTTTTTTTCTATTCTTTGTCTTTCGACAATGTTTGATACTGACATGAAGGATGTCGCTTGGCGCTGATGTTCCAAGATGATTTTCCGCAAGCACTCGAAAGTGGTAGGTAGTCGCGGGTTTTAGGGGCGATACCCGAGCGACCGTGTTGTCTCCGGCTACCAGCTTCTGCGTGTTGTGCTCATGCCACACGTCTTTCCAGCAAAAGGCAACAACGCTTAGAAGGATGCAATACGATCTCTTAAGCGTAATCGCGAGACGAGTCTCGCGAGGCGAGCTGTATCTCCTCCGCGAAAATTCTCCGGACGTTCCGACGGCGTGATTAACTTGTATAACGCTCTGGTCGATAAACCTATTTCGTTTCTCCGCGGCGTGAGTTTGTAGTTTAACAGTTGCCCGCAAAGACGGATCGTATGTGATGAGTGGACGGATCGATCAAGCGAATGACATTTTAATGGAGGATGAGAGCCGTACAAACTCGTGCAAAGATAACTGGCAATAAATATCAGACGTACATACAGTCGGATATACTAGTATGCGCCGACATTCAGTTGAAAATTAATTCGAAGCTATTACTCGCAATGGAAGCGCGAGATCTCGGAGATGTAGATTATCTCGAGTTTTAATCTGTAATTTAGAGATGGCGCGCAACTTTAGAGGTCTAATACAAATACGCGGACATTAAAATAATTCATTCGCAATACCGAGATAATACATATATTTTGTAGAGTACATTATATGAAAGGACATCGAGGGCGAGTATTTATCAACGTTTGGCCGGTATCCTCGGAAATCTCGATCCTCGCGAGACTCGATTTTGGTAAGAGCGATAATAATTCTCGACGGTGCTTGCCTCAAGAACATGTTTTATGCGCGTTAACACCACGACGCTTCCATGCCCCTTCGTGCGTTAAGTTCGATAATTTAACACCCGGCGGGGAGACTCGAGTCGATTAGGCGTAAATGAGGACATCCAAAGTTAACGAGCGGCCAGGGCAAGGGGCGTTTCAAAGAGAAGTTTGTGGCATGAAAATAGGGCGAGTGAGTGGGGAGGTGGCCCCCGGTAGTCGAGGGAGAGGTTTGTAAAACAAAGACGCGGAGAAGGAAGATTCGCAAACGACTTTACAGAAAACTTTGTCTTGGTTGTCGTAACGAAAACCACCGTCAACGTCGGAAATGCCGGCTATGTATATATGCTTCAAAAAATAAAGCGCTTCTTCTATACTAATATACTTAACTCCATAAAAGAAACTTCGACGACACACGATCATACGAATTTAATAATTTAATACTTCTATGTAAATTTAAAAAAAATATGTAAATTTAAAAAAAAAGTTGTTGAAAAAGAGATATGTAGAAGACACGAAATATCTTCGAATTTAAATAATATCGCTCATTTGCTACGATAATGATAGAGCTCAAAATTTATTGTCATTTTAGACATGCTTTAGTTATGCTTACAGAAAAGAATAGAAACGTAAAGAAAAAAGAAAGAACGTACTTTAACGGAACATACTCTTTTATTCCTCTGTAATCAGTAATCACACCGAAATTATACATTTCAAAATTAATTTACAAAATTTTAACAATTCAAAATATTCAAATTTATTTTCTGGTAAACTTCGTTTTTGGAATCAATTCATTTTGAATCATTCAATTATGTTTGATCATTAGCAAATTGACGATCAATTTAATTGTAATGTTACTATTTCAGCTTTATTGTATGATTGTATTTCAAATTTCGGCAGTAAGTAGGATATATTTTGTATAAAATTGAAAGATATATGTATATATAGAATTTACAAATGAAAATATTATTACTATTATTAGACACCAAAGCCTGGCCTCGATCATATTGAGCTTTTCATGTAGCAGAAGTTCAGATTATTATTTTTGTTTTTTAAATTGTATCGTTATTGTATTAAAAGAACGATATGAATTAATACATTTTCGTGCGGAAGAAAGATCAAAATATCTTCTGTGAAACGCTAGCAAATTTGGCCGCGATAGAAACGGAATGTTTAAAGGCGTACGATCCTTTTTCAAACGAATTGATCAATGAGAAACGTAAATCGTGTTCCCTTGAACGCAAACACATGAAAGAGAACGTCAAAGAACGGAACTGCTCTTGCGGCCATGCGTATTACATGGGTGTACGAATCACGAACGAATTCGCGGCGCTATTATATAGAATCAACTCAACGTGAGTTTACAAGGGACACAGCGATGTAATTACCATTGCTCTTGACAGCCGCAGCTCATGCAACAGACTGCACGTTACGTTGCACGCGTGCATCTTGGAGCGACGTTACAAAACAGCACATTACGAGGGAAAATATCAAGTTTGTATTTACTAGAGTTTATACTCCGTGGAACACGAAACATTTAGGTAAAATATCTAATAATAGATGCTAAGCAAAACGTTAAATATTCTTCATTAAACAACCGAATACTTTATTATGCATTAATATGCAATTCTGTTAATATATTTGATTAGTATTTATTATTCCTGTACGCAACCAAGATATTTTTAAACGTATACTCATGCAGGATTAAATGCAATCCATGATACTGAAATGGAAATAATATTTACATACTCGTCAATTTATTTTACATTTTTTAAATTATTCAATTTCTAAAATATATACATAATGCGATATCTGTCAATGTTTCAGGAATATCGTACTCATCCTACAATTTTCCATATATGAAAAATCATTTTCTGCGTACATTTTATTCTAAAATTGCTGCTTTGAGTGGCCGGAAATTAGACAGTTAAATATTTCGTCATAGACATTCGCCGAGTAGATACACATTCCGCGATTGAGTTATTACTTACTAATGAGATACACATTATGTTATTCGTGTTAATGGAATTTCGAGCGTTTCGAACGTGGCGTTTGTTTAAATATCGGCTGACGGGCGGACTCGCCAATAGATTGGGAGAAAACGGGCGGGGTCGGATAAAAGCCATGAAATAAATCCAAAATAAATGTAGCGCCTAAAATCCTGAATGAATATAGCAGGAGACGTGGAGCAACGTGAAGGGATAAATGATTAATGATTCCCCCGCGATGGCAAAAGCCACAGCGTTGTTCCCGAATACGAATGGATTACTTTCGCCGAAGACATCGTAGTGTTAACTTTAACGTTACGATATGATATTCCGCGCCGAATGATAGAAATGCCAAGCGCATTGCGAAACACGCGCGTATACATATAATGACGATGGATCGAGAATGTAATGGGGCGCAATAAACCGTACACTGTACATCGATATTTCTTCCTCTTTTTTTCTCTCTCTTCGAACTATCGGTCGAGCAAGCACAAAAAAATGTGGTGTTATTTTCACCAATATGCATTGCTTTAACGCGATATTTACATCAGCCGTCGGGATTAATCGCGTTTGCCAACAGTAAATAGGAAATTAAACAAACGTTTTTAATCTCTTCCATATTTACGCACATCCACGCGTTAACTATTGATCGGGGAACTAGATCAGAACGTGCAAATTAAAATCGAAATTTTTTTACTGTTAAATTTGTAAAGCGCAGAAGATATCTCGATTTCGGCGCATTCACCGCCACATCATTTGAACGCGAATGTTTTCTTGAGAAGTTGTACGATTTGCATGAGGTAATTTTATTTTTTGCTCGATTCACATTTTTGTTCGCTGTTTTTATACATTATAATGTAAATTAAATAAAAATAAAAAATATTATCTGTACGCAAACGTGCGTCGTAACTTCAAAAGAAATACGATATTACTCGGTTCCGACAAAGTAACATTGTCGTAACTACCGCAAGTTCGAGAAAATTTACATTAAAATTTTATATCCATTTGAAACTTTAAGACTTTAAAGTATCTCCCATTATTTTATCATATAGTCAACGATAAATTTTTATATTAAAATTGTGTCATACAATTTTGAAGTATCTCTATTATTTTTATCATAATTAATCATGAACTTTTATATTATAAAACTATGTCAATCTATTTCTAATTTCCAATTTTAATCGTTTTTATATTTTTAATTGTCTATATAATTGTCTATATCATTTTTCTAATTATCCAATTATAATTGATATCCTAATTGATGAAAAGCTTGATGAAATGTCAACTTAAAAATTACATTTAATTTATAGAAACTATTCTACTTTATTATTTTATTATTTTATTTTATTTAGAGAAACAATTTATTTAATTTAATTTAGGAACAATTCCATTCTAACAATAAGCTTGATTTATACATGATGTGGCAGTCAATGTGTCATTGGTCAGGAACGTAATACGATCTATAACGAGATGCTCTCGGCTTTCGATCGATAGTGACCGAGGTTTGCGCGCATACATCGAAAAAGGCAAACGAAAGGAGAAATAGTCTGTACCTTGCGCCTCCTTGTACTGCACGATGTAGTTGGTGATGGGCGAGCTGACGTGGCTCGCGTCCCGATCGGTCGCCGGCGAGGACCAGGCCAGCAGGATTGACCGGCTGCCTTGCTCGGCCACGTGCAAATTGCGTGGGAAATCGGGCGGCTCCTGCACGAGTAAGTGGATCGTCGCCTTGTCGCGACCATACGCATTCGCGGCGACGCAGACGTAGTCACCGCGGTCCATGTGGCTCGCCTGGATGATCCGCAGCTCGGTGGTGACACGTCCCGACGCGTCCGCCGTATTGTCTACCGCGTATCTAGACCAGAGAGCAAAGCGGTTACGCGATTAATCGATATGCGGCGAGATCGGGGCGAGAGAGGCTCGAGTTCGAAATTTCTAAGAATTACGCTAAATTATGTTTAACCCTTCATCATCACACTGGGTCAAAATGACCCGAGCATCATCTTTCACGCTAAATTCTAATACATGTTTACGATTTTTTTAACGAGTGTTAAAATTAAATTTTTCACAAAAATGCCACTGTTCCATTTTCTTAAAGGATGAAATTATATACTGTATTTTTTTTAAATCATTGCAACTAATACTATCGATTTGGTAACACTTTAAAGATAAGTTCGGGTCATTTTAACCCAGAATAACCATCGTGTGGCTTTTTAAAAGTGTGACCATGAAGGGTTAAGGTGGATTAATTATGAAGAGAGATAATCTGTTGATTACTTTGTCTACCGTTGTAACGAATTTCGTCAAATATTAGACAGCGAGACTCGGTCAAGGATATTGCTTTTAATAGATAAAATTAGTTTTCCAGAATCTACGGATGTTATTTCATTGTAATAACAGATTAATTCTTATTCCGTCATCAAAATAGCGATGCTACCGGCAAACTGCATTTTCCCAGGGATAGAGTACTTTGCTTTAGCAGTAAATTAACGAGTCCACGAACCCTTTTACGAACAAATTTGCTTGGTACAATTTCCTCGTTATTAACAAAACAGGTTTTGAGGTAATATCAAATAATTGGTTATAGTAGCGAAGTTTGGTCATTTTCACATCGAATATACAATAGTGGCGATGGTTTACTGCGGCAATAAAATTCTTTCACTCTATATATACGTATAATGGTTTAAAAATGGAATTTGTATGTTTTGTTAATGTAAAATACATTAGGTACTTAGAATAGTCTAACAATTACAGATAGACTTGTAACAGATTGACTTTGTGAAAAGCTGAAATAATTTGTAAAATCCATTTTAAATACAGAATATGTTTGTTGTATTTACAATAAGCTGCAGCCGCTTAATATAGTGTATAGTTTCAATATATATTATTTTTATTTTTAGTTATAGTTTCAATACATATTATATTATATTTAGTTTTAATATATAAAATAGAATTCTAAATACGTACAGTTGTTCAAATGGATTTTGTATCTAAAGAGAATCCTATGAATAACGAATTTAATTTGTATTTGCTTTTGAACGTTTCGTGAATTTAATGCACGATGATAAGGTAACGTCAGAATGGTACTTCCGTCAAACGGTATTCGCATTTCAAACCTGTGAGCTTTCACGCGAAAGACGCATAATTAATTCCAATACGAACCTAACGTCGTAATTAGGATCGATCTTGCTGTCACGAACACGCCAACTAAGATCAAGAGGCGCGTCTCCCTCGGCCTCGCAGCGCAATATTACGCTCTCCCCTCGTCGCACTGATTCCTGTCTCGTCCTTACTGTCACCTGGGGGCCCGCTGTAGTGAGAATTTTTCATCAGAAAAATTTCGCACGGCACTCCCGGCACGCACAATTGAACGTCAAACACAAGACAAGACAATAAAACCAATTTTCGCTATAACTCACAGATGTACCTTTTTGTAATTATAAACGAGCGATTCAATTTTGTTTGCGTCGAAATCGCACGGCCAATCTACGGTACTTTGTTGAATGCTCGTTTATTTCGTAGCCAGAAAAAAAAGATCAATTATCGACGCATGATGCTATTCCGAATAAGCGCGTGTGTTTGTGCATACCGTGTGTGTAACCTCTCACAGAGAGGATTTCATGCAGTGATGCGAAGCAATTATCCAGTGACGAATATTGTAGTAATGCTATTGAATTTCCGGCGGACATGCCCGTGTGTGTGCGAATTCAAATTAACAAATTTATTAAATTCATGACCGTTGCATTACATATCGCCGCCTACATATGAATATCATATAATAACAAATTAAATTCCTGCCGCTCTCTCCATTAAATCTCCAAAGATAATTTCAAAGAGAGAGAGAGAGAGAGAGAGAGAAATTTTTTTATATAGTCTGCAGATGATATTCTGCAATATGAAAAAATTTACGACAGACACTTTTCCGCCTAATGTCCACGGCGGCGGCGGTAAAGAACTACCCAGTTTCGATCACTCCGCGTGATCCAGTGAGACTCTAACCAAATCCCGGATACTATCCTGGATCTAGGATCCAGACGGCGACGGTAACTCTAGGTTTCGTGAATATTTTACCATGAACCGTTAGCCGAATGAGCTTGCTGAGGCCGGGCCCGATGCCGTTGCTCGCCTGGCATAGATAGAATCCGGCGTGATCCCGCGATACTCGCGGGATCACCAGGGATCCGTTTCTGGCCACCCCGACGCCCTCCGTACCGTATCCCAGCTCTCTGTAGTCACCCGGAGTTTCACCTAAATGTGCAAAGATACATCTTTACGTTTCTGCATAATAGACATGTTCGCGGAAAATTACTACCATACGTTTTACGAGCTCTATCGGCTTCTTCTAGAGTCCATTCTACATATAATTGCGTAAGTTATAAGTGATTATAAGAATTAACCAATCATAGTCGAATATGAAAAGAAGATTCGACTGATTAGTTAATTCTTACAACTACAATCACTTAGGTCGGAATCCATAGTCCGTTCTTAATCTCAAAACAATTTCAAGCATTGTCTTAAGATGCTAATACGGTTCTCTGATTGGTTCATGACATCTCAAGCACTAGCTTAAGACCATCTCGAATCTTGAGCAATATCTATGGATTCCGCCCTAACAATCAGGACTAGACAAAATACGTCTTAAAGTATTTGAAATGCAAAATACAAAATACTGACAATCTTAGTGTTTAAATTACAAAATACAAAATATTTTCAATCTTTTGACTTGAAATACAACATTTTTTGTCTTTCAAATTGAAAGATTGAAAGTATTTTGTATTTCGTATTTTAAATACTTTAAGATGTATTTTTCTCAGCCCTGCTTACAACTACGTTTACGCAATTCTAGGATTGACTTTACAATCACGGAAACTGAGAAGAGCATAAATTAAAATTTGTTGGTATTTTATTTTCCAGCTTTAATTGGACGGTGCTATCCGTCTGCCATGATGATAAACGTTTTTATTTCGAGTTGACACTACTGATATATTTGTTTTCTGGGACTTCTCTTTATTCTTTCCATTTTATTCTATTCTGTTCCTAGCGCGTACAGTATTAAAAATAAAGTACATTGTGAAGTTTATATTTTTATACTGCTTTATTTGTGGAATTCTCACTTCTCATGCATCCTTAGTTATTGTACAACAAAACTCGCTGTACAACGTGTTTACATTTTATCGGTAGATATTCTAGACTCATCAGAAACTAAAATAAGAAATAAAAGAATCAGATATTTCAGGAGGAAAGATCTTCATGAATGCGCGCGATAGATAACAAAATCTTATTCTTCGCGTAATTTCAGGTAAGCTTTACTTTAACAGCGTTTTGATTTGGAGCCATACTCAGCTGCTAGAATATTTAATTTCCAAACTTTATAAACTGTGAAAAAATAACGTTAAGTTTTACCGGAGGAAAAATTATTTCTCAGCTCGTAGCATGAAGTATCACCTTGTTTACGCCCTATTACAAAACATCATGTTGTATACCAATTTAAATGCCAAGAAATAACGCGGAAAAAGTTCTTTAAGTGCGCGAGATGTTCTATAAACGCATTTCTGAATACATGAATGTCTAAATGATTTAAAACATAACGCGTCGAAAGCTAAATACGAGCACACGAAGCGTATGCTTGAGAATCTCTTTCCTCGTAGACCTTTCCTTATTCGCTTATTCTATCTTTTCATAAATAAACAAACGGGCGGAAGATGTATCAAAGTATATACCACCCACATAACTTCAAACGGTAAAGATTTACTTCGCGAGAGCTCCTCCCGTGCAAGGTAAACCGAACATTTTGAAAGCGCCGCTTTTGAGTAATCAGTCTTTTCGTAGGAATCTTCCGAGAAATTATGTCTCGAAACTCTTACGGCAGTCTCGTCGACGGCATTCCCGTCCGATGCAAATTGCGTTTGTGCACTCGACCTAGTGGCAGGTAGTTACAATATTACACAAGGTTTAATAAAACCACGATGCTCCGTTCTACGCTGTTCGCATCTAATATGAATCGTGACAGGACGTGGAACGTCTTTTCCCGACACGGTGTTTCTTTTTTCACGTTCGATACTGCCGTCTGCGTGGCGTGCATCGCTCGACGGCGGATCGATGCTTCCCCGACATCCTTCCCGAGATACATAGTGAATGATGAAAAACATAAATATCCACACGGAATATCTGGTTTTTTTTTTGCAACAACTTTGAGATACGTATTCGGATGATGGGGAGAACTTTTACGGATTAATATTTGAGTAACGAGAATGCTTAACATGTATCAGAATATAACGCATAACATGCTGTAGAAACGTTTACGTACGTATAATACGATTACACAACTAACTCCTTGAAAGCATTTTATGAATAAATGTGTATTAGTTTTCCGTGCCGTGGTTAATTAAAATTAATAAAAATATTCTGGAATTTGATAACAATCTCGTCACTGCGACGTAACTGCATCGTGCCAAGACACACAAAGCGCTTTTTTACAAACTAATGTAGCCACCGGCGTAGGAACGATTGGCTCGCGAGAATACAATCAGACTGAACTACTGAAGAGCGAAGAATGCATTCGAGTGCCAAAACGAGAGGTTGAAATTTAGGAGGAAAAATAGAGAGGATAGAAGAAAAGTCTGGCGAAAGTACGTCATATCAAATCTGCACGCTCAGTGAATTGACGAAATTAATTATACAGTTCTATCCATAGAACTTTTATCTATAGGTAGGACTTATTTCTGACTACGGACTGGATACCCGTCCGTGGAGACGACCGACGATTCAGCGAAATTCGTGATTGATTACTGTTTCCAGAGCGTCTTTTTTTTTCCCGTCGACGCTCCGCCGGTCGTAACTTAAATGAAAATTACGTAATGCTCGCGCAAACAAAGTTCTCGCTTAATCGACAGGAGATTATTAGAAAATGTAATAATATCTGCGTCATATCTCGCTTTGAAGTTAGTTCAGAATAAATAATCGATGTCAATGTAAATTTTTGAAAAATGCATTTTTGAATACGTTAAAAATGATTTGTGATGTAAATATTTCACTCATATTCGTGGATTATTTATAAAGAGATAAAACGTCACAAAATTAACTCTGTTCCAGTTTCTATTAAAAAATTGAGAGCCTTCTTCTATTAAGAATATCCGTTTTCTACTTAAGAGAGATCAGGTGCGAATGAGCGTTCTCATTTCTCGCGCCACGTCGGAGACGTAATACATCTCTCGTAACGTTGCTGAGAACGGAGGGAGGAGTTATCTCCGAGATCCCACCTTTAAGGAGTCGTGACTTACCGATAGATTGCTTCCAAGTCACAGTCGGAATGGGGAATCCTTCGGCCTGACAGGCGATGGAGACGCCGTGACCTACAACCGCGTTCTGGTCGATAGGTTCCACGGTCCACCTCGGAGGTACTAAAAATACGAACCAATTGGCTTAGAATCTTCCAGTCGCTCGAATTTGTATCCGCCAGAATCTCACGCGATGCCCCCTCGTTTCCGTCACCGTTCATCTCGTTTCTTAGGAACTCGCAATGACGCCATAAAATTTAAAACACGGCCATTAAATCGATAATAACCGTCGAGGACATTTGCGACACGTCAGTCGCGTCCGTGCGCATTACAAAGATCCTACGTTTCTATAATTAAACAATGATAATGGCTAAAAACAAGAACATCAATATGTAATCATTGCTATATTACAAATTTATTACAAATTCCTTTTGATTTAATTTGCAGAATATTGAGAGTAATACGCAATTTATCCCACGTTATCCCGTTATTTCCTAAAGATAATATCATGTAAAACCGTCAAACGATATCGATTTTCATTTCACAGCCCCGCCACGATTTTATCTTTTATCAATTCGGTCTAAAAATATATATGATATGACAGGTTATTTATTTGAACAGTCATTCCCTATATATATTCAAACATTGGATCGATACTTTACTGCGATATAAACGGTGACGAATACCAATGACTAAATTAATGTTTTCCTAATGTGTTAATAATCGTGTAATGCATGCATCTCTTTCTTTCAACTAGATTATATACTTACACAATTTGCTGAAAATTGTAACAGTGTTATACTACGGAATCCATTAAGGCTACGACTAAATTACTTGAATTGACGATGTTATGTATATATGTTATGTATAAAAATAAACGAGAATGGATTTTGCCGTAATTATCTACTTTTAATTTCATTAGGAATTCAAGCAATGTTAATATATCAAGAAAACGAAATTTAGGAGTTAAGAAAATAAAAAAAATAGAAAGTAAAGAACATGCATCTTTAATAATAAAAACAATAGTAATAATAATAATAACAATAATAAAGAGAGAGAGAGAGAGAAAAGAGAGAGAAATTATTACTAAATCTACATAAAAAAAGATTCTCTAACTAAATAATCTACATAAATTATAGAATATACGATGAAAAGGAGAAATATAAATAGGAATAAAGGTATCTGAATATAAAAGAAAAACTGTCCGTCTAAAATACATGAGTAGTTAGTATAAATTGAAGTATATAAATATATGTCGAGAAAATATAATACACATAATATAGTACGAGTATATGAAACGTAATATCATGCAAAAAATGCAAAGTTGGTCATTATCATAAGAAACGTAACAACGCAAGCACCATTCCAAGTAAACAGAGCCGTAAGACGGATGTAATATAAAATGCTTCCAGACAACGACAAACGCAAACGATACCGTGGCAATGTACCGTAATGATACCGAAAATAGAAAGACACGTAGTAAAAAGGAATATCACTTTTACATTCTTCCATCGTCATTCCAAGTCGCTCTCGCAGAAAAAAGGGAGAGGGGGGAATTGTAACCAGAAACAGGTTAACTACGCGAATGCATGCTTATGCACACCCGTATCATAGACAATTGTTGCATTACATTAGCACAACGTCTCGAATATCAACTCGCTACGATACTCTACCTAATACATTCGCGGAAACGTCCTTTAAAAAAATCTGAACACACGTGAATAATACTTCTACGCTCAAGACTGAAATATCTCAATTTCGAGATCTACATCGATTTCAGCGATGCTGCTTGCGGAAAATATACGGAATATAGGGGATATATCAAGAGTCAATACATTTTATATTGGGCCTTACCGGCATACCGGATCAACGGACTCTGGAATAGGCCGTGTGTGCTACTGTTGAATTACTTTGCATATCGAAAGATATCACTCTCGTTAAAATTCGCAAATAGAACTGTTCCTGTTTTAATAACGATCTCGTGAAAATCTATAATTATCTCTCGCTGACGAGCATGCAAACAAGTAAAGTCGGCGATACATCTGTCGTCTACACGATTCATCTGTGTGTCCAAGCATTCCTTGCCTGTGTGATCCTCGATTTTCAACGGCAAACGAAAATTCTATCGAGCTATCCTCGAAGACAAACGAAAGAAATCGGGATATGGCGGCATCATGCCAGGTATTATTTTCGATAGCGCGACTACGATTTCAGAATTATCGACTTTCCTTTCTCTGTTGTTGTCACCTTTCAATCTCACCTTTATCCACTTAAAAAAAAAACATTTTAGCAATTATTAATTAATGAGGACAATTAATGGGTATTTTTGCCAAATTGTTTCTTTCGAAGTAGATGCATCGAACGCGGAAACAAAACACGTGAGTAGTACAACCAGACATACGTACATATTCCGTGAGTAGTAACGGACTTGGTATGGCCGCGTACAAATGGAGCAATCGGACATACGTAATATATCAGCGCGTAAGTAGTAACAAACATATTTGGTGTAATATGACAACCTGCAGACATATACATATAATATGCCGGCACGTAAGTAGTAACAAAAATACAAAGTAAAAACATTTTCTATTTTTTGATATTAAAATCGGTCCACTCAAGTCCTTGTTAAAATTTTTAATATATTTGAATGTTAGTTTAATATAATATAATTATGTTATTTAAATATTTTGTATTAAATTGATATTCAACATTTTTTAATATCAAAATAATATGAGAGAATAACACAATATAAAAGAACAAATAATACATATAAAAATAATGTGTTTTGAAACGTAAATTCTAATATAAATGAATAAAAGAATAAATTAATGTTGATTTAATGAAGAAAATAATGTTAATTCAATATCGTAAATATTAATTTTATTGAAAAATAAGCTTCCACAATTTGTTTACAAATTGTGTCAATGTTATGTTTCTATAATGTTATATTTTTTTACATAACATTTGTGTTATTTTTTAACATATTCATCTTTAATTTATCGTTAAATTAATACAAAGACTTGAGTGGACTATTTGAAACACGTGAAATGTATATTTTTAACACAAAATTTTGAATTGTGTACTTGAGACGGCCGAATGCAAGTAGTACGATCAGATACAAGTAGTAGTACAGAATATTTCAATGAAATAGAAAGAATAAAACCAGAGATACAAGTAATACATATATCCGGGCATAAATTCTATAGGATATATACATGTATAACGCGACCAAATCGAAAATAATACGAAAAATATCAGTGCATGTAAGATCGCGCTGAAACGGATATACATACGTATGTGCGAAGATATACATACGTATGTGCTGATCGTAAGCCGTGGCGGCAAAGGTATTATAGTACCATGAAACTGAAAAGTGCAGTATACTGCACTTGGTACTCCGTTGCACGATGAACACAAAGTTCTCGATGAACACAAAGAACTCGAGAGGATATGGAACGTGGAACTTACGTTCCATTTGGCAAATATTACGAAAGTCTGGTGTGTACCCTATAATATGACTGTAGTACTCTCAAAGAACATATAAGCATAATAGACCGAGAAATTCGATTGTAAAAGATTCGCATCGATGCCAGGATGTTTAAAATTTTATCTGTTATACTTATTGCTTTATATTACTTTATCTTGAAATTTGTTAAAAATTCAATTGCGACGTCAAATTAAACCATTAACTTTAATTCTTTTTATTATTTTATAGAATAGCCAATTACCATTGTTACTTACTCCTTTGATGTTTATTCTTGAAAAATTGTAGCACATTCGTCCTCCAATTTGTTACGCGCGTATAACTTCTGTCGAGGTTAAGAGATCGTATTTCGCTTTGAGGAAATTCCTTTGCCGCGCGACATTCGCTAGAAAATCTTTAATGGCTTTCAGATGTCGAAAACCTAGCGATCTCGTCGTATTTTATACGCATTAGGAACAGGCGCCATTACGTGCCGTAATATGTGGAGCCGTATAACATACGAAATGTACGAATCTCTTTTGATATCCTATAGAATTTGAGTCGAAATGGATAGAAATGAATAAAATATTGCTCTCCAGCGAGTGTGAGACCACTAAGAACCAAATCCGGCGAAACCCATTAACATATATACCCATAAATTAATCCTCAAGATTATTTCGAATATCGCATTGCGATCGGTAACCAACTGGCTGTTTTCTTGACTTTATAAATAAGTCAGATGATTAAGTTTGATAGAGTTAAATAGAGTTGTTTTTGTTTGTCGTGTATATAAAACATTTTCTTTCTAAAATAAACGAGTAATAGTAATCCCAACAAAATTGTATTCTATTATATTATATCGCTCATAATTTACATTATATTGTGAGCACGAAGTGAGAACCGTAGCTTGAAATACCCTGAAATAGCTATCCTGTTTTTTAAAATATCTGTATACCTGAGAATAAAGTATATTGAAATATATCTCTGATTGGACCTATCGAGAAAATTTTAAACATCTTTTATAAAAGTATATTCTCAACATGAAACGATCTTTATACATTTTAAGCTTACACGCAATTTCAAATAGCTTAAGACTCTTATAAATATTTCATTATTGATAAAACTTTACTTTGTGTACTGATAAAAGTGAAATAAATTTTTAAGATTCATCTAACTTACGCTACCAAAGGAGAAATTTTTTCAGAGAGAGACGAAGAATGGTGTTTCAAATTGGCGAAATCAGATACTAACATATAAGATTACGATCCGGCGAATAGGGACTCGTATCGCAGTCCCTTCTCGAGGGATGTCATCAACGGCTCGGAAAAGTCGTCCGAGTAACCCGGAACACAGGAGCGGATTAAATAAAAAAACGAAAACCGAATCTTGCTCGACGTTTCTTCGAATTCTGCGCTGTGATACGAACTGTATATCTGCCTTGTATATATATGCGTATACATACACGCGTATACACACCTATACACAAGAAAAGTGGGACAAAGGTGCGAGAAAAAAAAAGAGAGAAAAAGAGAGAGAAAAAAGGTAGATAGATTGATAGATAGATAGGTAGGTAGATAGAGATTGAGAGATAAATAAACAGAAAAATAGAGAGAAAGATGGGGAGATAGCGAAAAAGGAAGGTTCTTATTTGTGGACGCTTTATGTACACAGTTTTCTTACGACTACGTCAGTTTTTCTCAGGACACCAACCAGCGACTGAGAGGCTGGTCGAGTGCTCGGCCAGGCCAGCGACGTTGCTGATCTGACACGTGTAGTTGCCGCTGTGACTAGCGCTGACGCTATTTATCGTCAGGATGCTGGAAAACGGCGGATAGTCGCTTATCTGTATGCCGTTGCTGGTCTCGACGGTAGCGGCAGCGGCGGCGGCGGCGGTCTGGACCGACGACACCGATGTACCACCGTCGCTCGGTCTGACCTGAATTGGTTTCTCGTCCATCAACCACGTGATGTTGAACGGCTGGTCACCCTGGCTCGTCGTACACATAAGCTGTGTCCGCTGCCCCTCCATCACACCGTCTCCGAAAAAAAATGGCGAGATCCGCGGCGGAACTATAAACGTTACGTTGTGACATGATAATGGAGAGTATGCACCTCTGGTCTTGCGCTGGCGTTTTTGACCGCGCCTTAGGGCGTGTCATCGATCGACGATTTTGCATCTTTCGGGCCGCGTCTTGTGCACACGCACAACTGATTTGCGATTTACGAAAAAGGGGGATACGATAATGCATGCAACTTATTACCGTAAGTGGGACCATATGTAACAACCGTAAGTCATCCTCCCTTATTTTTTCGTTGTGATTAAATAATATTTTACCTGTTAACGCATCGCAGCACAATTCGATTAGATGAGATTTCGTCGTCGAAATAACGAGGGCAAAATCATGCGGCTTATGCGTACATCTCACGCATCGTCGCGTTGGTTTATTCTTCCAGCTCGATAACACGACGACCCGCAAGGACGCGTGTAGGAGTAATCCCCGGCAGTAACATCGCGGAAACTCGATAAACTCGGCCACCATTTATTCCGATCCCATTCCGCCGCGTGATTTCCCCCCGCGCGGGAAGGACAGGTGCAACGCGACGGTTCCTCGCACCGCGTGCGTGGGAAGGTCCGCGGAAAATTGTGGCATGGCCATAAATATCGGCCGGCATTACGTACGTACGTAACGCGCCCGCCGAGAGTATAACGCGGGCGTAGCTTGGGAAATGAACATTTACGAGCGAGCATAACTGTTAATGTCGGCCGATGTGTCTTTATGAGGAGACCGCGAAGTTAGAGATAAACCCGCACCTCCTTTCTCACACAACCTCTTCCACGCGAAGAGGGAAAACATTAATAAATTTATTTCGCGCGAATGTCGCGGTGCGCGGAAACTTGTCGACCGAGAGGCACCTGCCCCGGCTTCTCCCTTTTCAAAAATAGATTTTCCACGCGAGTGCGCGTCGTGCGTGGAAGCCGCTTGAATCGCGATCCTGCCCTGGCGAGATGCGCCATAACGACCGCTCATCCGGCATGAGACACCTGCACACGTTTTCTCCTTCGAAGATATACTCTTCTTTCTCGGTTACGTATCGCAGACTTACTTACCGAGAGCCCTATCAATAGAAATTTCAAATGTGGAATAAGATCTAAGGAACACGACAGATCTCTGGGTGTATCGCGGAATGATGCAATTCGTTCGTGATTCGATTTCGGGCAGGACTTTTCTTTTTTTTTCTCCTTGATAGAAACTCATGCATGCAGAAGAATTACATACGTCAAAAATTTCTCAGAGATCTCTCGCGTCGAATGCCCCTTGGATACAAATATCACTACAGTCTTCATAATAATATCGTAATGGTGAAAAACGACTTTACACAAAGTATATATATATATATATGTATGATATACCTCGAGCTTAAACACATTATCATAAAACTCTTTGCTACATTAATAAAATGATGACTTCGTTATTAAAACGCTCAAAACGTGATACCATACAACACAGTAATGAGTAACAGAGTGTATAATGAGTCATTCGTAAAAAAAAGAAACGAAAATACGAAACGTATAAAAATACGTTTCCTACGGGATATCGCAGAAATGTCGTTAACAGCGATTTCCGTGTATATATGCGTGTGGAATACTAGGAGAAATGGACAAATGTAATATATTCAGTCAAAACATTACTCGTGTCTCTTGAATACCAATGCTGGACGATGCATACACCTGTGCGAATAGGAAAACCAGTACGAGAACTTTACGGTCTCGCTGCGACATCGAGATTTCGACTTTATTCAAGAAAAATCTCGCTTCTCGTGTCCGTTCTTGCATGCGGTTCCTACATTCTATTACAACCTCTCGATGTCGCAGTCGGTGTTTAATTGTAAGTAGATACCATAATAAATAGGAATATACAAGCAGCCAAACGTCAAAAATGCCCAAGTTTTCAATGTGTTTATGTAATTCTCATTCGTTTTCCTTTATAGAAATTTAATACTGGAAGGTGATTAACCCTAATCGGTATTTGCTCCGAAATTTTCTTGACTATTCGCGAATCCAATGTACTTTAAATATATATTTCCTTAAAGTTAATTAAATAACTTTTTAAAAGTCAAAATCCAAAAAAAGATGATGTAACTTAAAATTATGTAAGGTTGTGAAAAACATTTGTTATAAACAATTTTTCACAACTTAGCCCATACAGCACTAAACTTTTAAAGACGTTCACTTTAAGAATGTACAAATATTCTTAGAACGTTCATATACGTTCTATTCATATCGTATCTGGATAGTTGAAGAAAATATCCGGATCCATGCTGGACTCGAAATACAGATTAGGATTAATAACTTATTTTGAGTATTAAAAACACTGATGTGATACTTAAAATAAGCAATAAGTATTTAATTGGTCAGTATTTATATAAAAAACGCGTTTCTTCATTTATCTTAAAATATACTTCCAAAGTTTTTTTACTGTCGATACTTAATTTCTAATAAAAAATTCATGACGCTCGGAAAACGAATGTGAGTTGGACAAGTACTTTGGGCCGCTCGTATAACGCTAATACGTGGGGGAAAGGGGAGCCAAAGACATTGCCAAGATTGTATACAGTACGTATAATACACATAGGTATCGATAGTGGTTGCAGGAAAACTCGATCAAAGCGTGCAGATGGGCGTGCAAAGAGAACCGCGTGCAGGACGAGAAAGAATGAAAGAAAGAGAGAACGATTCAAAATCGAAAGTAATCTGAGAAAAAGCTGGCAACGCGCCGAATCGGATATTGTAGCTCTTTCGCGCCAATGCTTCATTCTTTTCTTTTTTTTTCCCCCAAGTTCTCTTCGAACCATGGTCGAAAATACCGATCCGGCGAGTTGGATACGCGTGCAGTTTGGATTAGCGTGTAGCAGAAACGGTCACGTCGAATGATCTTAAATCTCAATGATCGAAGATCATCGTGGACGAGCCGGAGTGCAGTCGGCGCTCAAACAGTCGGCGAACAACGAGGAGACTTCTCTTCGCGACGACGTAACGAATCATGACACACCCCGTGAAGATTCTCTTTCGCAGAATTGCGCCCCGAAAACCAATAGCGATTTAAACGTTGCTCTTTTTATTCTTGAGATAAAACAAAATTGATTACGGTACGCATCGCGCGAGGTCGGACGCGCTGATTGATCGATCGTCGCGGCGCAGAGCCGTCGGGGAGAGCACAAACGATGGCCGGCGGCACCGGTGTTTCCCTACGTGCCGATCAATCAGTTACTTTCCATCGTCGCTATACCAGCCAACGAACTGGAAAATTGCCAGTCCGGTCCTATCACGACCGACGCCTCAGTTCGCGAATCTCAATGATAATCCGCTCTCGTCGTCGACGCGATCTTATTCCGCAAGACGTGGCGCGAATCCATCCAAGTCTTCCACGTCCCCCGACGTCGTCGTTGGCATTCCGATGAGCGCCGACCGAGTGTTCCGTGTTCCGAAATACGATGCCGGTGTATTTGGCGTTGAGAGTTGCGGGCGCGTCTCTCGATCGTGACGAAAAGAGGAGAGAAATAAAGAAGAGAGAGAGAGAGAGAGAGAGAGAGAGAGAGAGAGAGAGAGAGAGAGAGAGAGAGAGAAAGAGAGAAACAAGAGAAGACCCAAATGATCGCCGTAACCGTGCCAAGTACCGATTCCGGAACACGGTCAGTCTATTACACCAACGGTGTGCGTTTACCGTTGACGTGAAGGAGTGCAGAATGAGCGACGGTTGCAGCGCCATTGGTCACGCGACAGGTGTACGTGCCATTGTGCGCGGGTGCGATCGTGCTAATGCTCAGGGCGCTGGTAAAAGCGTCATGTATCCCGATGGTAATGCTCTTTCTCTGGGACGAGGAGGACGCTTCGTCATGCCCGGGGCCGGAGGCGGTCATGGTGGCAGGGCCCCTTAGCTTGGGGCCCACGTTAATCATCGCGTCCATCCCAGGACCGGCCGACGACCGACCGCGGCTGCCCGACGGCGCATCCTGCGACGACGGCAACGTCCTGACCGTCTCTATCGGGACGTTATCTTTGAGCCACGTGAATGTCAGTGGTAGGTCGCCGGTCACGACTACGCACTGTACGCTAGTACGGTCCCCTACGTTTAAATCGCGAGCAAAACTGAAAGGCGTGATTTTAGGTGGCACTGAAAGAACAATACAGACAAGGTGGCATTCCATCAAAGCAGTTCAGATCACTAGAGAATCACGATGTTGTAGTCGGGAATATCATCAGGGATGGATTGATTCGGTCGGGTTGTGGGGAGGATGGAAGGATAAACGGTCGTAATCGTTGCTCCGCGCTGCTGCCAGATGCGCCTTGGAACGGAAAGCAATTTTTCAGAGCGGCGCGATTCCAGCAGAAACGTGGCAGGGTAAGGGGAAGGAGGAGCAAACTCCGCTTCCGATACGGCATACGTCAGAAACCAACAGCGAGATTCGATGCTGAGAGATGCGGTGAGATTAATCGATCCTCCCCTTCGTGGCTTCGACTTGGTCTTATTGACGGCGGAAATCAAGACTGCGCGCATCGTAATGAGAAAGTGAGAGAACACTCGTCGATCTCGAATTCGAGATAATTGCAATCCTCATTTTTCGACTTCCCGTCGCTTCACGCATAATTGCAAATTTTTTATTCATCTCTGTCGCAAACGAATTTTACATTGAGAGAAATATTTTGTATGATATGTGACTTTCTTTGCTTTTTAATTTAAAAATTTTGTAAATCACGTATCATACAGAATATTTTTATGAGTATTTCCGTTGACAAACGAATATTTCTCATGCGAATGACGCAAATTAAACAGACGTATCCGATATCGTGACGTGAGATGCTCTTAGGGCATTGCTTCGTTACGTCTATAGATCGACAGCGGATTGAGAGAAAGAACGTGTGCAATTTTAATGAAAGGCAATCGCGTCGGTGATTTTCAACAGAATATTCAGTTTGCCGACGCAATCTCCGCGGTAAACTCCGTATTTAGAACGAAACAAACTTTGTGTACACGCATTGAACAAACGTGTTTGAAAATTTTGGTAGATCGAGAACACGGAAACTCGAAGGAAACGTTCAACCAGAGAACATTACTTTATAAAAATAATGCGTTACCATTACTCATTACTACCTTTAAAAAGTAATATATTACCATTATTTGGAAAATGATGATTTGTTTTTTTGTAATATTAGGTTGTCAAATATCTCCCTTCCGCTTTTTTGTCTTTTGAATTTCGCGGCTATGTACAAAGCGCTACAGAGGTCGTATCTGGCAATACTATACACCATTTCAAAGGTCTTGACATAACCTACAAAACGACGCTATGCATGATTAGTTTGGATATTGCGTTCAACAGTTATAGACGTGTAAACATGGAGTTCACTAACGCCGAAATTCGCGCTATTTCGTTGATGACTCGTCAGAAGCTACGGGAGCTCGGATGGGAGGTTTTATCGCATCCACCATATAGCCCGGACATAGCGCCAAGTGATTACCACCTGTTCTTGTCCATGGCGAACGCCCTTGGTGGTGTAAAGTTGAACTCAATACAGGATTGTGAAAAGTGGCTGTCCGAGTTCTTCGCAAGTAAGGAGGGGGGCTTCTACGAGGGGGGTATTATGAAGTTGCCGTCTAGATGGAAACAGATTATCGAACAAAACGGCGCATATTTGAACTAAATCCGATCACTGTAACACTTTTTAAAGAGCAATAAAGCGGAAGGGAGATATTTGACAACCTTATATTAAAGTAAGATATTATATTTTTTTTTAAATTGCAATAATAATATTGCATATAATAATCAATATTAAATATATAAATAATCAGTATTAAAACTTTAAACTAGTCTCTACAAGCATTTCTTTATATTATTATCTAAAAAAATATCTTTTAATTCTTTATATTAACATCTTTAATTTTTAATATAATTACCTTTAAACTATAATTTACGAACGTAAATTTTATCAAAAATTGTTATCAAACATGGTTTTTAAATATTAATGTCTTTGTTAAAAGTACATTCTAATATTCATTGCCGATACTGAAAATCTACAGTTCATATTAGACATATATATACTATTATACTTATTTTCAATATTGGCAGTGACTATCAGAATGCAACTTAAGCAAAAAATATTTTTTAATATTAACTTTTATTTAAATAGAATGTTTTTGTTTGATAAAAAATAATACACTCTACAGAATAGATGTAAAAGATAATAGGGAACTAAAGTAACTCTAAAAATAATGACCGAACGTTCGTTACTATTCCAGATATAAAAAAAGTAACGATTGTTACTGAAAAAAAATAGTGGTAACGGTAACGACGTTACGAGTAACGCATCATTTCCCAACCCTGTATTCAACATAGCTGTTTACACGGTGTATCAATGTTTTGTCATCGGCAAAGTTGACAGATTCTGCAATCACCATGGGGATTGTTATTAAATATCTATTATTTAATTCTATGTTTCACGCATCACGGGGTATTACGAATAATTCAATACGGAACTCCCGCTGTACAGTATCACGAAAAAAAGTCGCGCATGTTATCCCCCATTATGTGCACATGTACGGGGGAGACATTACGATCGAAAGACGTTTTGCGGTAATACCCCGTGCAACATCTGCACGCAGTACGTCGCGTCGTCTGTCTTATGTACAATACGTTACGTACATACGTGGCAGCTGGATTTTTATGTACATAAGTACACGAGTACATAAAAATACTGTGGAGTAGAACAGAGCAGTTTAGGCGAGCGCGTGCAAAGGAGGAATGCTTGAGCGATGCAGTGAGGTGCTGTGCTCTCTGTGCATAGGTTATTTCCGGACACGTCTTCAGCACGCGCGGCGTACGCCCAGCACGCGTATCACACGTCGCCGGAAATCGCGCGTTCACCTGAAAGCTGCCTCTACATAATTCGCAAATTCCAAAATGTAATTCGTAAACGCAGACGCAAAAAGAATCTGCGTTTTGCGATAGTGATCAATGGGTGCTTTCTGTTTAGTGACACAAGTCGACACATTATTCTATTTTTCTTTATATTCAGAGAGTAACAAAAATAAAAAGACACTTGTGTCGATTTATATCGATTTGTGTCACTAAATGGGAAGCAACCCTATATAGACTAGACCTGTCCAATTTGAGCTCCGGAGCCGAAATGCAAAGCCATCGACGTAAAAAACTTCAATGTAAGTATGATTTTAGGAACTATAATAAGTGTTGATAAGCGTCACTTAAATGTGTATTAACACTTGACAGTCCCTGAAATCTTACTTACATTAATTTTTTTTTGCGTCGATGGCTTTGCGTTTTGGCTCTGGAGCTCAAATTTGACAGATCTGGACTAGACCGTCACTTTAACTTCTGCGCTGTGACAATTGTGTTGATCAATACAAAACAGTAAAGAATAGTGGAAATGAATTTTGCATTTGCTCATTTATCAGCAGAAAGCTACCCTTTTTATAAATTTCCGTGAAATATCAGACACATAATAAGTTTCTCTGACTTAAATTAAAATGTCAACACTTTAAAATGTCAACGCTGTCGCAGTTCAATTCATTGCGTGCGGTTGGTTTGCACCTGTGTGTGTATCTTGCGTGCAACAATATGTCATTCCGCGTCTGCGTTTGCGAACTACATTTTACGATTTGCGAATTGTGTAGAAGTAGCTTTACGAAAGCGCTGCGGGTCACAACTTAGAAAAATGAAAAAACTTGTTTTCCATTCTAGCGCAAAAATATCGTGTTTAATTTCATTTCAAACAAGTCCCGTATACGTAACATGATAATTTCAATCGTGCTTTAGCTTGTAACTCGAGTGTTTTGACGAAACGTTTAATATATATTCAAAATTAAATATTAAATATTAAGCAAGAATACAGCTAAAAGTCGAAAATAGTTCAATTTCAGCGCGATTTCCGGGACGTCATATATACGTCATTTTATGTATAAACGTGCGCAATACGCGCGTTTTGCATCACAGTAAAATAAATGTATATACATATAAAATTGTTCTCCTCATCAGAAAAAATCCCACACGATTTCAGGGAAGCATCCAAATCCAGGGCGAAGCGGAGCTGAAAATTGCACAGTGCCTCGCATTTCAACAGAAACCTAAACATTATAAATCCACCCTTTTTCTCTTTTTTTTCAAATTATACGACGTAATTGCTGAGCGATATAGAAATGAAATGGTCAATCAAAACCGAAAAAGATTAAATACGTTACGCTCTGTAATCGTCCAACGTGAAAAAAAATTTTGTTGAAATATATTCTTTCGGCAATGCAAAACTCTCTATCCTAATTTTCGAGCAACTCGCATTCAGGTGAGGCGTGCATACGCGATCGATAGGATCGATAGGATCCTCGTGCGAAAAGCACCCATGTATTCCGAGGGACGATGTACAATGCGATAAACCGAAGACTCGGGTCGATGTTGTCCCGTACTAATTAATCCTGCCCAACGTCAAACAACGCTCCATATAGAGTTAGGTTGATGAACCTAATAGAAACATTATGTAAAGATAAAATCGGCAACGCGCGTCAAACGTTGCATGCCGCACACGTTATGTATAAACGGGCTGCAATTAATACAGTCGGATGGGGCGCCAGGCAATGGATAGTTAATATGTTCGACAAAGGGAGAATGCATATTAACGTGCGCCTGTGATATAATCGCGCTTCGATATTGCGGAGGCAAATTGCAAAAATGATAGATTTTGCGAGCGGAAATTTTTACTAAATCTTCATGTAAAACTTACTGCTCTGAAAAAAGAATCTAATAATAGTTATCAAATGTGAGTAAAATAATTTCAATCAAATGTTAATACAAGTAAAAATAATTTCACTTTTCTAAATATTTAGTAATTATTACAAAACAGTTGATTATATTATTATACTTGGTAATACTTACTAAATATTTAGAGAAGTAAATTATTTTTTATTATATAATATTAACCGAACATTTGATTGAAATTATCTTACTCAACACTTGATAGCTATTATTACACTGTTAGATATCAAAGGAGTAATGGTAATCTAATTCTTTTAACATTTTGTATATTTAACTTCCATAAATGGAAATATAAATCAATTCAATTCGGTGATTAGTTTAAAAATTAGCAACATTTATATTAATGTATGCACTTAATAAATAATAAACTAAATTTGAGAGAGAATCAAATTTAATATATTTCCTCCAGTTATATAAATTGTTGAACTCCATTTTTAGTTAATAACTTAAGACACATTAAAAATAATTCAATTTTATTTAATATAATTTGACATTATATGAATTTAACAGTGCTGATTCTTTTTCCAGTATGGGTTTTTTTGCCATTAACCTTAATTTAAAACAAACTATGTACCTTTACAGAAGAGATATTATACCTTTTACTTGTACGCCATTAGGTAATGGAGTTATCGTACTGTAAAAATTGCGCCAATTAAATATAACAATATATCGCATTAAAAGTATTGTCGTAAGAAATTATTATCTCGGCAGCAAGACCGGGAAATACCTTTTTCCCCACTTCGGAGGGCAAAGAAACGATATATCGTTTCATTTCACGAGTGCGCGCTCGCGCGCGTAAAGTAATCTCTTCATTTTCAAATGCTAATTTTACGAACACTTTAAATTCCGGTGCTCAATATCGCGGGGAATTATGCAGAACTGTTGGCTACGTTTGCTTACCTAGAACACGTACTTCGACCGAGCGGTGCGACGTGAAATTATGTTTGTTTCTGGCAGTGCATGTGTATGTGCCTTCGTCGGCGCTGCGTTGCACAGTATCGATGAACAGCGTGCCGTTGGCGACTCTTTGTCTCATGTTGGTAGGCAGTTTTATGTCCCCTGATAACAACGTTTCGGCATCGATTAAAGGGGACCCTCACGTTCGAGAATATTTAAAATATCCAATAACGATACTTGATTCTGCGAGACGCAAATATTTCGCATTTTCGAATCGATCCTTAGCCGCATAAATTAATTTGCAAACATAAAACATGCAACATAAATTCGATGAACTAGCCTGTTAGGTAGGATCAACCCAATCCCTTGAGTTAATTAACATTTTGTTATTTTTAACTTCCATGTGTATCAAAATGTAAATTAATCCATTTCTGTGGCTGAATTGCTTAGTTTCAAAATAAATGACATCCATATTAACATACGCAATTACAAGGGAATCGTCAACACTGTTCCTCATCGATTTTGATGAGCTTTGAATATGTTGTACAGCATCAAAAAAATATTAAACTCATATTTTTTAATCTGTTTATCTCAAGATTTAGGGATTGGAACAACTCTTAGGGATAGAGGGATAAATTAAAAAATTTGATATTTTCAAAAAAATATGAATGTATATTATTATTAAGAATATAAAATACCACAAAACTTTTGTATAAAATATTTTTTCATGTACTTCATAGTTTCGAAGATATTCGCCGAAAATGCAAAAATACGTTATTTTCGAGAGGTTGTTTCGACCCCTAAACCTCGAAATAAGAAGATAAAAAAAATGGGTGTAATATTTTTTTATGCACTGCAACAATGATGCACAACCTGCAGCCAGCCTGTCGCAACTTGTGCGACTCATAATAAAAAATCATATTTTCTATTTTATGCTAAACGAAATAAACATTATGCGGTGAGCAAGATTTTATCTCTTTCTAAAAATAGCCCTCTAAAAATAACCCTTAAAAAGGTTGCGAATCACTGCTCTGCAATATATCCAAAACCTATCAAAATTAACGAGAAACAATTCCGACGGTTTCTTTGTTAAATAATAAAGTGAATTTAAATCAAATTTTATATATTTCTTGAATTAAATAGTTCAACTTCATTGTCAAATTAACGACATATTGGATAGGAACAATGGTGATGTATACAAATAATTAAAGATATTTCCAATTAGGTGCAATTTGATATGATATCAAAATATGATAGATATCAAAGAAGCAATAATCCAATCTCTTGAGTCAAGTAACATTTTGTTATTTTAATTTCCATCTGTGTCAAAATATCAATCCATTTCTGTGATTAGTTTCGAAATACATCATTTATATTAGGTAATGTATACACTTAGCAAATAAACTAAATTTGGGTCAAATTTAATATATCATTGTCTTTGTCAAATTAACGATATATTAGGTAGAAGCAGACTTATAGATATGATTAAAAATAACTCAAATTGGGTATAATCTGACATTATGGATTTAATAGTGTACATTTAATAGTATACAGTTGACTGCATATGGCACACTTGTTACGAAAGAGAATGATCAATCAATGCGGGAGATCAACGACAGATTTTAACGTATCTTTCGCCGCAATGGAAATATTGAATAAACGTACGGCAAAACTCCCCGTTATTCGGTCGGGGATTAACAGAAATGACGCACGATGCTTACCTTTCTCCCACACTATCGATTCGATAGGATAACCGGCTACAGGACACTTGATATATAGTTGCTTCCCCGCGACCGCTGAAACGGGCGACATAGGTCTGACGTATGGCAGTCCTGAGATTAGAAAGCAGTAAAGCTCGTTACGCTGCAGCCACGCGAAACAGCATAAAGTTATAAATTTCCAGCAGGAAATCTAGTTCTCTGTTCTCTCGATTCCAGGGAGACAGAGCCGCGTGAAAAATAAAAAAAAAGATAAAACAGATTTTTAATATCGCCGAGCGAAAAAAGACAATTCTGACACCTTTGGATTTGATCAAACTGCAAGTGTACTATTTAATGATACAGGAATGGAATAACGTTTGTTCGTAATAAATAAGTGATCGAGTTCAACTGCATGAACCAAAATCGTAATCATGGCTTTCTGCAGTATTTTAATTACGGAAAAACGTATTTGCTGACTTTTGACTTTCGCGTTGACTCACCGTAGATATTGAGCCTTGCCGAGTGCCTCGCTTCGCCAGCGCGGCTGCTGGCGATGCACTCGTACTCGCCGCCGTCTTCGGGCTTTACAGTCGTGATATTAACGTGGGATATTACGTCCCCGTACACGGTTACGTATTGGCCAATCAGGAGCCTGTCGTTTTGTGGAAGCGGAAATCCATCTAGCAGCCAGGAAATTTGCGGCGTGGGATTACCCGCGGCGCTGCATTTCAGAGAAACCGATGGACCAGGTTGTATTGTCTGTTCGATAAACCTGTAGACCAGCTGCGGCGCGATCTCTGTTAACAGACGTTACGGGCAGAGATTACGCATATCCCAAAGTTTCCAAATGCTATCTTTTGTATACCCCCGCCTTTTCTCCATGTCTAACGCACCGCGTTATAGTCGCGTCTGTATATTTCTACGCTCTTTTTTTGCTCCTCTCTTTTATACGTACGTCCAAATCGATTGTCGAACGTGAAAGCGAACCATCACGAATTTAAGTTCGCAACCTGACGATATCTCCGTCGACTCGTGAAAGCCATTTAAAAATAATCCAAATAAAAAACTGTGCCAATTGTCGTTGCAATATCCCGTCGATCCGCGGAGTTATCTACAAATCATCTGAATAGAAACAGAAAACCCAATAGCGAGTGATATCTTATCAATAATGTTGAAAACGAGAAAACAATATCACTAATAATTAATTTGTAAACAACAGGAAAATTATGATAGATAGGCAAATAGCGATCAACGTATAATGAAATAAGTAGATAAAACCGCCATTTTACGGCACACGGTTCTCATTTCAGTTTACTAAAATGATAAATTCGTAAACTTTGCGGCGCGGATACACACTGGCCGTGAGATAACGTTAACTTTACCAAAAGTTTTCGTATTCATCCGAGAGAGAAAATTCCTTCATCGCCGTCGGCATTATTGATATCGATATTGATGAATATTTATGATAAAGAATATTTCAGAATGCTTTTGCGCTAAGACAAAACGAGAGATGCAATATAATTTGGGCATTGTAAAGACGCAACATACATTTCCTCTCCCTTTACTTATTCTCCCTTTACAGCACGAAATATTACAGCAACCATTGCAGCAATGTTACTTTGAAATATTTGATATTATTTTATGAAATATTATTATTGCAATATTTCATAAAACATTGCTACATATTATACAATATTTCAATAATTAATAAACTTTTATCGCTAAAATATTATTGATTAGCATCACTTTTTAAAATACATACAACAAAGTTATGTTCAAAAACAGGGATCCCAGAAAGCACACCAGAAAGAGTTTGGGAACCTCTAGGAGACTCGCCAACTCGATTTGTATATTTCTTATAGGATCTCGACGTTTTCTTCTTACGAGAGAAGCGAGTCCATCTCGTAGCGAGGTCGCGTACTTATCTGTCGAATTATAATATTGCAATAATATATTACAATATTTTCTACAAAATACTGTTGTTACAATATTTCACAATATTGTCACAATATTTCCAATCAAATATTATAATTTCGATATTGTACAATACTGCTGTAATTTTTATAATATTGCGCGCTATTAAAATATTGCTGCAAGATTTCGTGTTGTAGGGATTATTACTATTTCTATCAGGGAAACGCGCGAAAGGTAGGAAAAAGGCGCACCATTTATTTAACGCGGGTTAACTCGATAGTTAAAAGTTGAAAACTCACCGGAGCAAATATCGGAGGCTCGGTAGTTCGCCCGTGTATAATTAAAAGATTACGCGGAGCCGCCATTAGTAAATTATCAATTAGGTTGACTGATTATTCCTCGTTATTCTGGCACTCTTGGCGAGAGGAAATCTTATATTGCCACGTTTCTCAAGAATCGTAAATTAATGTTTAAGATCGCGGCGCGTCTTAACATGCGAATATCATAAAATACGTTATTGCGGCAAAAATCTCTCTCGATATATAAACGATAATCTCAATTTGCCGCAACTCGCCGGCTCGCGTAAAGGAGGCACGGCAGTGTCGCTGCGCTTGGTTTAGCGCCGAGACACTACCGTGTCTCCACAGATAAAGATTGAATAAAAACTCGACAGCATTAAAACACAAATTTACTCCATCGGATATGATATATTTGTAGGAGTCACAACAGTAGAGGAAAAATATCGCATTTTGCGTATTGTCTCGATAAACGATTATTAAATAGTATCATCGTGTATCAGATATAATTTATCGCGTATCAAGTATCAATTTTGCGAATAATGTATCTCTGTTTTGCATAGCGTTTGCATCACAGAGTTCTTGTTACGCTCTCTGTAATATCGTGTCCAAAATAATAAAATGTTTAAAAAAATATTTTCCCGAGACATGCAGTAATTATGAAGATTAATATGATTTGTTTACGCTCTAATAAATATTAGTTAGCGCCGGGCCGCCACTTGTTTTCTCTACATTTCAGAAAACATTACTGCCGAAACGCCGTGACGTTTCCAGGCAAACAGTCAAGCTCGTTGGCAACAAAAATTACGTTGGTTGGAACGCAACGAGGTCATATTCCAGATTGAAGTTTACGCGAAATGTCAATGAGCGTTTCGGATAAGCGGCACGATAAAGCATGATTTACATGAACGATATATTTTTCCGAGGTTATACGTTTTCCAAGTACAGCAAAGTAAATCTTTCTCTCTTTTCCTCTCTGGCGAAACGGGAGAATGCCATAATCATAACAGACAAGATATCACGTTCGCGTAATTCCATCCAGGGGCAGGGACCGTTGGCAAAATTCGCAAATTCGCCGAGATGTTCCCACGGACCGGCTTTCATACCCCGACGTATCTATGACGCATAATAAATAGACGTAGTCGGTCGCGTTGCTCCGCGAAATCGCGCGCGGCTAGCATGCAAAGCATCGGCAAAACCACAGGAATCTCGTTAGCGTATGCAAATCCAGGGGTAGTAGTAGTAGTAGGTACTAACTATCCTATCGTGCTGCGGGCGATCCCAACCTAATGTACACTCTATACCCCTACAGCTTAGAAATCATGGAGACGGGAAGAATCCTAATGACAAGGTAATAGGCACCCGGCTCCGAACTTGGACGACGTAAATTACTAATTTTCTATCCGTCGTCGTAACCGGAACGACGGACTTTATCACTATGGGTATGAATAGCGATTACATGACATTTTGTTGACGTAATGCAGAAGTTAGTGCGCAACTATTCCTCGTGACGTAATTTCGATGGTAGATAAAATATATTTCCGTCGTAGAAAAAAAGGTCTCGCTGCGATGTCGTCCTGCATAATTTTTTGCTATCTTCTAACAAAGCCAATTATTATTAAATATCTGGATGTTGATGTATACAAAAAATTAATCCACAGTATTTCTTAATGTATATAAAAGACAAAAATAACATTCATAATGTTAGAAGGTGCAGAAAAATTTATCAAAAACAATATAACGTTACAGAGTACATACAGCATACGAGATAGTATTAGTGTTTTCCAGCAAGAACCACAGTAGAACACAGTGTGACATAGTGATCATTTCATCTTTGTTTAACATTGACAAACAACAAAGTTGATGATTCACTGTGTTAAACTGTGTCATATGTCGTTGGAAAGCATCCTATGTTTTCTGTAGAACCAGACTTAAGTAAATTATAACACATATATTTACGCTCATTTCTAGATGTATTTTACATACAAATTTATACACACATCAGCTATTTTTAATAAATAACTTTTTAAATCAATCTTTGTTAAATTCAAGACCAATGACGAAGACATAGTGATTTTACGGGCTCTATTTTTTATTTCTGTTATTATTCATTTTCGTGTTATTTTGTTTTTAACATTTTCAATTTTTTATTATTTAATTTTTTATATTTTGTAACCATTTTTATTAATTTTTTTGTATTCTTTAAGTATAAAACATTTTTTAAAAGGTATAATATACAGAAAAACTTAAAAGAAACGATTGTATTATTTTGTATTATATTTCTATATGATCAAATAGATATAAATTATTACATATACATACATATTGATTTTTTAATGCGTTTTATATACAGGTTTATATATAATCAATAAAACAAAAAATAAATAAAAATATAAAAAATATAAAATAAAAACAAAAATAATGAAAAATAAATAAAACAAAAAACAAACAAAACCAAAAAAGACCAATAATCACTACGTCCTGGTCATTGGTTCCAGGTTAAACAAACAATAATTTAAAAAATTATAATATTTATTTTTTAAAAATGGCTGTGTATAAGTTTGTATGAAAATGCATATAAAAATAAGCGTAAATATATATATATTAAGAATTTATACATGTCTGAAATAAAGAAAACAGACAGTTTCGTACAGAAATAAAGAAAACAAACATCACATATGCAGTGTACATTTGTATGATATTGTATGTTATAGAAACTTCTTCTGCACTTCCTGACATTATACGTTATTCTTCTCTTTCATATCAAGGAATATTATGGAATTGATTTTCTTTTTAGATATGCTAATCGGTTAGCTAATTTTGATAATTCTTGCACTTCTTCCTTTATCTTATATTCTATTTATAAAGTTCCCGTTCATTATGTTGGTTTAACACGCCTGAAAACTTAGATCTAATAGAATACTATAATATTTTATTGGATACTTTTTGTCCGAAAAGAAATTTAGTGGTAAAATTACTCGACAGCTAAGAGAAAACCGGGAAGAAGGAAGAAGGAAAGTAGTAATTTAGCTCGCGCGTGATATCCGAACTCGGATTACAGCGGAGGAAGAAACAAACTGTACACGGCGTCCAAGATCGGTACGCTTGTTTCCGACGAGGGAACGGTAGCTGAGCGTGGACTATAAGCGATTTTGAAAGAAAATTTAAACTTTCAAAGGTCATAAAAGTTACCAAATGCCGGCCGTATAAAGGTTAATGGCCGCGAAAGCCTGTACGAACTTCCAGAAATGTACAAATCGCTCGTAAGAACGGCACGAAACTCAGCACGCTTTTCCTTGCCGGCAGTAATATTCTCCTCCCGAGGTGGAAGCAGTATAAAATAAAAACTCAAAGCTGGAAAGACTACCTTTGGAATTATATCTCGAAATCTAATTGAAAAATAATACCGTCTTGCGAATAAAAATACGAACAAATGTTGTTAAACATTTAATTAAAAATGTAATCTCTCTATACTCAGTCAACGTCTACTAAAAGTAACATAATATCAATGTTAGAATTTTTCGCACTCAACAATGTAATGTTATGTAACACCATGTGTAACACCATATATTACATTTATGTTGTTGTCAATGCAAAATTATATCATTGATATTATATTACTTTTAGTTGATGTCAACTGGTAATTATTAATATAATGGAATTTCAACAGCAATAACAGGATAATTTAAATATGAATAAGCCGATAAACGTGCCGAAACCGTACTGTGGTTTTTTGCGAAAAATTCCGGAGGGAATTCCAGAGGGAGAGTTTTTTCACATGAAACACATCGCGCTCTAAGTTACCGGACATGTTCCACGTGTCATATGTTACCCGTGTGATCCGTCCAATACTTGGCTGCGATGTTATCGGTGAAACCTATCGTAAATCGCTTTTATTATATTCCGGGGCAAATTCGCGAGTCGTACGGTTGTCCATCGGACATTGATGCGCGACGGTGAAGGTCTCACATCGGGGGGTTTGCAAGCGGGAGAGCAAACGAGGCCATTTTCGTACAAAAATGGCACGTATCCCGCGGCGAAACGACCAGCCGATGGAAAATACGTTACGGAGGGAACGTTGCGCAAACAGGCAGCCATGCTCCGCACATGTACCGAGTTCCGCAGCCGTTAACCAACATTTTCAAACCGCGAGCAAACCAAGTTTCTGATCAAGTTCGCCAAACACGCGATCGCTCGTCCGAACTCTCTTTTTTCCCTGTAATAAACGTGCGAGGGAGAATTGTTAAACGCATTCTCGATCTGCCGTTAAACAACATTTCCGATCAGCAATTATGATGATAACAATGATTGTAATTTATCGCTAAATATTCTATTAAATACAGTATTCTATTACATTTATAATTTATAATTTATATATGTATAATTCTTAAATAAAATAAGAATCACATAGCATGCTGGCTAGATCAGATAACGGAAAATAATTATTGTTGAAGTTAACTAATGCGATTTGCCGTAACTTTGCTGCTGTTGTTGCAAACGAAACTCAACCGGAGTTAATCGAAACCGAGACCACGATTATCGTTCCACAG